TTTAACGCACAGGCTCTTTTTATTGATCAAATGGTGTGGAGGGCTGTGGGGTAGTTAGTGGGTTACATTTTGGGCTGCTAACTACAAGGTCAGCAGTTGAAACCACCAGCTACTCTGTTGGAGAAAGATGAGGCTTTCAACTATTAAAAAATGTACAGCCTGGGAAACCCATAGGCGCAGTCCCATGAGTCAGGGTTTCTGAGTCTGAACTGACTCAATAGCAGTGAGTTTTGAGCACGTGGCACAAATGGTTAATCTCTTGACTACAAACCAAAAAGTTGGTTGTTCAAACCTTCTCCGTGGATTCACAGATGAAAGACTAGTCGGTTTACACCCAAAATATTAGAGCCTTGAAACACTATGGAGCATCGTTTTATTCTGCACCTCACAGGCCATAGGTCAGAAACGATTGGACAGAAATCAATTCTGTTTTATTCTTTTTGCTTAAGGGTAATTCCTGAAAATGTTCTTGCTGTCACTAGGTGCCATCAATTCTGTTCTGACCCACAGAGCCACGGTGCACAAGAGAACGAAATACTGCCAGGCCTCTCACCATCCTCACACTTGTTCCTATGTGTGAGCACAAAGGTACAGCCACTGTATCATTTCATCTCATGGAGGGCCTATCCCTGACAATATGACCCTCACAGATTCCTCTCCACTGTTATGTTCTTTATGTTTCAGTTGTTCCTATTAAAGAGGTTTAATTCTCTCGTCTGGTATTTTAACCAATTGACATTGAGGTGACTACAACTCATGATGATCCCATGTGTGTTTGAGGAGAATTGTACTCCATAAAGTATTCAATTACTGATTTATTATTTTTTGTGGAAGTTGATTGCCAGTCTGTTCTTCTACAGCAGCCCTTGGGAGAATCAGTTAAGAACTGAGCCTGTTCAATATTTCTACCATTAAATGGCTGCCCATAATATGTAGTCCTGAGAATTATGATAGGATTTGCCTGGTTTATGTACCTCTGTTTGTCACCAGCATTGCCCACCCCATTCCTTTACCTTTCTCACCTTCCTTGCCAGATAAAGTACTCTCAGTGAACATGTAGGTCAAATACAAGGTAAGTACCATTCTCCTAACAATTCCTAGCTCTTCAAACATGGCCCCTTCACCTTTTTCTATGGCATTTATTGCATTGTGCCTTTATCTATAGCAAATGCCATGTGGTGTCCCAAGTATTAAGCTGTTTCTCAGTTGTCATGTGATTAATCAATGTTAAAGCATTTTTATGTGTCATGGACTATACAAATTGCTTTATAAACTTGAGTTAAGCAATCCTAGGAAGTAGGAACTATTATAACACCCATTTTGCTGATGAGTGAGTTGCACAAGTGTGGCAGTCACAAATCTGTCAAATTGCTAAGGGGTAGAGTCTAGCCTGTTAATAATAGCCATTGAGGCCTCTGCGTGGGCATGGCCTTCTCCTGAGAATTCTGGGAACTCCTATGTTGGTACACTCTCTCTGCTTTATTTCCCTGCAGGAGATTCCTGTTGATAAAACCCAAGGAGCTACCCTGATGGAGCCAGAGCCTTGGAGCTGGAGGAGCCATGTGGAGACCCATGCCAGCACTGAAATGCTTCCGCCGCCACGGGATCCACATTGACTTTCCATCCACCAGCCTGTGATCTGCCTGCACTCAGCATCATTGTGTGTGTTGCATGAGTCTGAAGAGGAACTTATAGACTGGTATCGGACATATGGGCTAAGATCGGATTTATGGACTTGATCTGGATAGGGCTGGGGTATTTTATCAATATAAAATTGCTCTTTATATATAATGCTCTTTCTTATACATGTAAGAGTGTCTCTGGATTTGTTTCGCTAGTCTACCCAGACTAACACAATAAGGTTATACTATGACCAAGTAGTGATATTTAAACTGAAGCAGGTATCTTTACAATGCATGTGTTTAACCATAGCACAATTTACATCTGTGCATTTCCATTAGCGTGCCTTCCTGCCTCCAGGCACAATTACTTTCTTTCAACATTTTTTTGGTGGATAAATTCTATGGGAACTTTAAAATAAACACGTTATCTCATGGAAGTTTTTTTTTAGTTGAACTCCACCTGGTCTTACATGTTCTTTATTTTATCCCACCATAGAATTCTGTGCACATGATTGTCATCGCTTTTTCTACATTGTATTACATGTCTGTATTTGGGGTTCACACTCCAAGTTCTTGAGGGCAAGAGTATATTCCTCTAAGAGCCTGACCTAGAGTACAGGAATCACACTTTATACAAAAACAACAACACCACCACAAACTAAATCAAACTCATTACCATCAAGCCAATTCTGACT